GTTCTTAGCACATAAGGACCATGGCGGGGGGGCGGGGGGCGGGGGGGGGGTGGGCACAGCATTCGTAAAGAGCCAGGAGCAGACCTTCCAAGACTTAACCGATTCATGGCCCAGCTCGGGATGGCTGGACCCCCAGGGCCAAGGAAGGAGAGGACCTTCCACTTGGCGTCCAGGAGGCTCTGTCCGGGGTTCCACATCTGCACAGCAGCCTCCCCAAGACAAGGGCCCAGGACTTGGGTCGGAGGGCCCTCCCTTGGCTCATCTGCTTTGTCATCTTTTCTAAACACAGCCTGGCAAGGCAGGGCCCACAGACGCGCTCAGTGCCCGCCTCCCCGGCGCCCCGGGCCCTGCCCCACACACGTGCGGGCGGACAATAAGATCTGCAGATCTGGAGCTTGAAGCCCGGGGGGAGCCGTCACACACCTCTGAACGAATGGCCTGCTGCCTGCAAAGCCGTCAAGTTCAAGGAGCGGCTAGGCCCCCCGCCCCGGTAAAAACGCTGCCGCAGATCACTCAGCCCGCTGCTGTTGAGGGCGGGGTTTCTGCTGTCTGGGACCTGGATCCACTCAGTGCACACAGATCCAAGGGCGGACGGGTCCAATCTGAGGGCTGTGCCCACATCCCCTGTCTGTGATGCCTTGCGCCTGCCCCTGGCCTGGGAGCTGCCCCCTGGGGGACGATCACAGAGGTCTGCCTGTAAAGGGCACCTTGAAGGGACTCAGGCAGACAGATAGACACACATAAATTATTTATTGTGTAGACAGAATAGCAAGTTAGTAAAACCCCAGGATGGCAAAAGAGCAGAAATCCAACCAGCAAGGCCAGGCCTGGCCCAGCCCACGGATGGGTGGGGGCAGGAGGGACCTGTCCACACCCCCAGGAGCCTCTCAAAATCCTAACTCAGGCTGGCTTCTGACAGCACACAGCCCAGCGATGGGGGAGGGGACGGGGGCGGTGCCCAGGGAGTCCAGGCTGCAGGTGGCCCCCAAGGGCTGCTGATAGCCCCGCCACGTCCCACCCCTCCCCTAACTCCCAGGAGTCCTCGAGTGCACAAGGCCCTCCTGTAGACTCATGTCCCCAGATCAATTCCTGGGGCTCCATATCTTTCGGGGATCAGTGGCCTAGAGATGCAGGCTGTGGGGGCTGTGTGAAGACAAGGGTCCTTCCCTCAGCCCAGACAGCCCCTCACTCTGTGGCCCCAGACAGCCCCCCTCAGAACCAAGCCCAGAGCTGGGACGCCAGACACCGGATCCCAGACCCGGATCCAGACGCAGCACGCACCCCACTGCACACTCCGCCCCTTCTAGACCCCCAGGTCGGCTGAGCTGGGAGCACAGACCTGGCTGTTCCAGGCAGCTGGACCCAGCCACCTTCCCTCCGGGTCCCCACTCCTTCAAACCCCACCAAGTGGGGAGCCCGGCTGCGCGCGCGCCGCTCCCCGCACCCGGGCCCCGCCCGCGCCTGGAACCGTCCTCGCGCCACCCCGGGGCTCCCGGGAGCGATGGGCAGGGACGGGCTTCCCCAGCGCCGGCCACTGTCGGCGTCCGCGGGGCTGCGCCCCAGTCCCTAAGGTCCGGGGGCCTGCGGCACGGGGCGCCGCCCGACCCCCGCAGCCGGCAGCCGGCAGCCGGCGGCCCACTGGACGCTCCGGGCCCTCTCGGCCCCGCCGCAGCCCCTCCGGCCCCCTCTCCAGGTTCCTCCTGGGCCCCTCTCCGCCCCCTCCCTGCCTCCTCTCTGGGACCCCTCCCCGCCCGCCGCGCCCCTACCGTGCGGCGAGCTCGGGGCGCCGGCCCGGCCGGGCGCGCAGGGGCTCAGCTGGCGGCACGGCCCGGCTGCAGGAAATGCCAGAAGACTGATCCAACCGCGTTCGCGGAGGGAGGGAGTGGGCAGGCGGGAGGAGGAAGAAGATGGGGGGAGGGAGGAGGGCGCGGCGGTCGCAAAACCCGGGCGGGATCCGCCGCGGTGGAGCGGGCGCACCCGGGACCCCATTCGCTGCCTGGCGCTCGGCCTTTCCTCGCCCCGCTCTCCCTGACACACTGAGGCTCACGCCCACCCCGGCCTGGACGCCACTCAGAAAATGGGCAGGAGGCTGGGCCACATGGGTGGTGTCAAGTGGGGTCAGCCTGAGGGGGGCAGGGGGGTCTCGCATTTAGGGGTGCAGGGGAGTACCACGGTCACACATGCACCCGCACCTCCAGCCCACCCTAGCCAGAGTGCCAGGTGCCCCTCTCGCTTTCTGAACCCAAGAAACTGTCACCATTTCTCCCTCAGTCACGGAAGCCACGAGAACACAAGAGGAACCCCAGAAATCCGAGGCTTTTGTCCTTGTCCCATGTGTGTCCTAGGAAGGACCCCTCGACACACCCCACGCTTCTGACTCCTCTTTCTCAGGACTTTCCCTCAGAGCCCACCCTCCTGTGTGTCCCCTTCATCCCTTCTGCCCACCAGGGAACTTTTCAGACCTGCACAACCTCTTGCACAGAAAAGACATTCTGATTCCACCAAACACCCCCAGACAGGAGCTGAGGAGGTGAGGGGTGTCCCCCGGTCCCTTGGCCATAGGCTGTAAAGTGGCGTGAGCTCCTGGCTGGCTCCAGGGCCTCAGGAGCATCCCTGGGCCTCCATCGTTAGACCCTTCCTCTAGCATCTGTCCCCAGAGGCCAGGCAAGCTGGAGCCGGTCCCACCTCCAGGCATCCCCAGACCAGGTAGGTCATGTGAGGGTGAGGGCACGGAGCCTCTTCCAAACGGAACCTCTCAGTCTGTTCCCGCCCAAGGGATGGGCCTCACCCTCCACAGAGCCGCTGGCCAATTAGTACCTTTCTGGTGCTTTCCCTTTATGCTGGGTCTAGAGTGCCTCGAGGGCAGCCCCTAAGCCTGGTGGCATGCTGGGCTGTGGGGGCCGCTACCCATAAGGCCCCTTCATGCCCTGGAGCTGGAGCAAGTTGTCTTGGGGAGCAGCGAGTAGCAGTGCCTACGTTGGCTCTGTCCCCAACCAGCTGGGTGGGCGGCCTCTCCCAAATCCCTTCGTCCTGGCCTCAGCATCATGCCCACCCTGTTAGGCCGATAGTGGTCTCCCCTGGGGCACAGAAGCACCAGCCCCTTGTGTTTATCAGAGGGGGCCACGGGTTAAGGAGGGGGCATGCAGCCACAGCTTGCTCCGAACTCATCCCCAGGACTAGCCCAGTCCCGCCCCACAGTCACCTTGCGAGGCCTTTGGATGCAGAAGTGCTTAGACAAGATGCTTGTGGCCATGGTGGGTCCCACTCTGAGAGGCCCGGCAGGGTGGACGCCGTTCTGAGGAGGGGTCTGTGCAGGGTGGGCGGAGGGAGACCAGCTGGCACCGCTCTCCCGTGCCTCACATGAAGGCTGCCAGGAGCCTGGCAAATTGCTGGTTGCCAGGGCCAACCCACAGGGGACTGAGGAAGAAAACAGCCCTGTCTCCTGGGGCGGAGGTCTCAGGGCCCCAAGTGGGGAGCTTTTCCAGTCTCTGCTGAGGCAGGCCATGTGGGGCCACCTTGATTTCATGAAATGACACTGAAAGGGCAGAGGTTGAAGGTGCACCTGGCAAGGGTAGTGGAGGGGCAGGAAGGGCCCAGAGTATGACAGAGGGTGGGCGACAAGAGGATGGGGTCTGGATCTGGCTTGACCCCCTCACTAGGGTGGGCCACCAGACAGCCACGTGGGAAATGAGGAACGTGCCACCTGCACTGGTGTCGGGTGCCCTGTCCAACTGCACACCGGCCCTCCAGAAAGCCCCTCTTCCAGCTTCTTGCCCGGTTTTGGAGAGGCAGCGTGACAAAAGGGGCCTCGGCATCCCCACCTGTCAGATGGAAGGGGCGTGTGCGTGTTGGTCAGCGTGGGAAGGCAAGTGCAGAAGGCTCATGGATGGGCAGAGCAGGGAGCTGACCTCGCCGACTCTGGGGACACACTCGGTGGGCAAGTTTGTGCAACTCTGTGCCTCAGTTTCCCCATCTGTAATGGACGAGAGTAGTTTCGCCCTCTGAGCTGCCACGAGTCCCCAGTGAGGACACAGACTTCTAGAGTGCCAACTGCGGAGTGGACTCAGGGAAGAAGTGGCTTGCACTGTCCCTGATCAGCCACTGACTTCTTACTCAGCTACTGGCTTCCAGTGGGTGGAGGCCAGGGCGGGATGGCTCCCCACAACAGGAATGACCCAGACCCAAATGTCAACAGTGCCAAGGCTGAGATACCCTGTTCTAGAATATTCTAGAATGAATGCACTTTTTTTTCTTGGTGAGGAAAATTGGCCCTGAGCTAACATCTGTGCTAGTCTTCCTCTATTTCATATGTGGGACGCTGCCACAGAATCACCCGACGAGCGGTGTGTTGGTCCATGCCCGGGATCCGAACCCACAAACCCAGGCTGCCAAAGTGGAGCACACGAACCCAACTACTATGCCACCGGGCTGGCCCATAGAATGAATACACTTTTATGGTTGGAATCACTCTTTAGTTCAGGGTGGTCGGTCCATGGGGATCGCAGGAGCCCCCCAGTTGACAGAGCCCAGACTGTCCCAGGCTCTAGGCCAAGGATTCTAGACACATTGACTCAGTTTATCCACCCAGAAATCCTATGAGGCAGGTGCTGTCATGATCAACTGATTCCACTTTACAGATGGGGAAACTGAGTCACAGAGCAGGGAAGAAAGTCGCCAAGCTCTGGCAGTGAGCAGGGACCCACTCCCCGCATTCTGCTCCAGAGCTGTGCTTGGAGCCTCCTCAGAGGAGGATCCACAGGCTCAGAGGGGAACCCTCGGGAGCCTTGCCCTTCCAGGGCACCTGCTGCCTCCCTGGGAGGGGCTGGGGTAGCCAGGACACGTTGGCACACACCTGGGCCCGCTTCAGAGAGGGCGGGCGCCTCTGGGGATGGGCTGCTGGCAGCTCCAGCCACTGCCTCTGCAGGGCCAGCGCCAGCCGGGTGGGGCATGGTGACTGGGGAGGAGAGCCTGAGCCAGGTGTGGGCCAGGCGCTTTCATACCTGTCGTCTCCTTCAGTCCTCTCCAAGCCAGCGAGGTGGCAGCAACTAGTTCTCCAATTTCTCAGGTGAGGAAACTGAGGCCCGAGTAGTAAGGTGTGCAGCTGGACTCAGGCAGGATCCAGACTCCAGTTGGGCCCTGGTGCTGTTGTCTGGGTAACAGTGGGGTGGCCCAGAGGTTTGGCTGGGGAGTATGAGCCTGGCCCCCAGTGCCTTCCCCGCCGCCCCGAGGCAGATGCCTCCCAGGCACAGGGCCTGTGGAATTTGCCGGATGCTCAGGGACAAGTCCAGAAACGTCTTACTGGGGGACCCTTTGTTCCTGAGTCTCGGTTTTCTTGCCTGGGCCGTGGGGCTGAGATAACGCCCCGTGAGGCGTCCGGGAAGTTCGAAGCCCCAGCACGGTCTCCAGAACACCACAGCCGGTCATAAAAACAATGCCACATTTATCCATCTTGTTGCTTGGCACCGTGTCCCCCCATCCACGTGCGACTCGACCGCCCCAGCCTCCACCCAGAGGCGGGTTGTCCTCCCCATCGCCCCAGCTCCAAGCCAGGCAGCTGGGGTGGCCAAGGCAGGACGCCACGCCAGGCCTGCTCAGCTCGCACGCTGGAGCTGTACCCAGGGTGCAGGGGCGGGCTCTCCCTCTCGGCCTGCCCCTTGGGACTGGGCGGGACAGGGAAGAGCCATCCTCCAGCCCGTCCCTGAGCCTCAACCCCCACAGGGTTGGTGGAGGAGGTGGGGGTGGCCCCAGACACGGCCTGCCTCCTGTCCCCGGGGAGACTGCTCGCCCGTTTGGTGAAGTCTTCCTGGGCTGAGTCACCCACCAGGTGTATGGGGCCGAGCAGCGGCTGTTGTCGGGTCTTTCTCAGGGAAACCTGTGAAATGTCAGCGGCAGAATCTCCTTTTGAATCCTGAGTGGCCCTGGCCCCCGTGCTGGGGCTTCCTGAAGAGGCTGCTGTCTGGATGGCTCTCTCTCTGTCTCTGTTTCTCTTACACACACCCCCCCACCCCCACATATACATGCAGGTCCTCCAGGAAGGGACAAGAAGGTGCTATTTACAGGGCAGCAGGACCCCCCCCCCCCCCACCGTCGGACTCTATGGGAGGCTGAAGGGGCGTTTAGGGCCCGTGGGGAGCGTGTGGCGCTGAATGCCGTTGGGCGTGCCTGCCGATGTCCCCGCGCCTGGACCTCCTCACAGTTACGGAGTCAGTTCCTGGAGGTGAAATTGGGGCCAGCGGGCTCTGCCTCCACCCTCCCGTGTGGGGTTAGCGCTTGCAGCGTCCTCCACGGTAGTTGGCATGGAGGATGGAGAAGGGCCTCGGTGGGCACCGCATGAGGTGGGGTAACGGGCATGGGGAATTCCCCGGGGTGGCAAAGAGGCTCAGAGGCCCCCCATGCTGGACAGTGCTGGAAGCCTATGCGCAGAATGCTGCTCTTTGTCCCCGGCCTTGGGCTCCTGCGGGGCCGTCTGGAGTTTGGCTGGATCGTCTCCCGCCTGGCAGTGGCCTCTTCCACCCGCGGGCGAGAGCGGCGTTCCACTCAGAAGCTGGGATTCTGCTGGAGGAGGTGTGGGCAATCTTTGGTGTTCCTTGGCTTGTGGACACATGCCTCCAATCTCTGCCACTGTTGTCCCATGGCCTTGTCCCCTGGGTGTCCGTGTCTCCAGTCTCCCTCTCCTTTCTCTTATAAGGACACAGTCATTGGATTTAAGGCCCACCGAGATAATCCTGGATGATCTCATCTGGAAATCCTTAACTTAGTTACTTCTGCAAAGACCCTATGTGCAAATAAGGTCACATTCACAGGTCCTGGGGGTTTGGACGTGGACATATCTTTTGGGGGGATGCAATTCGCCCACAACAGCAAATAACTTTGGGGATCCGGCTTTTCTTTCCCCTTGAACACCTGCGGTGTTGGTGCTGGTGTTGGTGAGCCGGCCCCCTGCACGCTGAGCTTCTCTCCTGTTCTGAATGCTTCTTTTCTGAGTCCCCATTTGAGGACGCAGCTTGGGGACCTGAAAGCCGGGGACTAGAGCTGATCGGGGTTCTGCCCCTTCCTGTCTCTGAGCCCCAAGCTGGATGCCCATCCCTGCCCTCAGTTACGGAGAGGATGGAGCGGGCAGCAAGGGCTTTCTCCGCAGCGCCGGGGGCCTGCGCCTTCTCCGGGGGCTGCCCCTCGGTTTGCTGATCACTGGCCAGCCTGGAACAACGTGCCGTCCCCGAGGTGCAGAGTTTTGGTGAACCCCCTCTGGGATGGAGGGCTGGCTTCCTACAGCCTGCCTTGGGAGAGGACTCTGGCACATTCTCTCCTCCGTGTGCCTGGGGGAGGGCCTGGCGCTGCTGCCCGGTGCCACATGGACAGTGAGTGCTAAAAGGAAAGGCGCAGAGGCAGGATCTGCCTGCGGGGACCTGTGTGCCGAGCGGCCACTGGGCATGTGTGCATGGGAGAGACGCTGCCCTCTCTTCCAGGGGTGTGGAAACTCTGCGGGTCCTTGGGACTGAAGTTGGCATGGTCTCAGACCCTGTTCCCACCCACTGGGTCGCTGCCAACCAGTTACTCTCTTGTGGGGACGGGTTTTCGTGGGCACGCATAACTAGTGCACCGAGAGGCAGACAGAGAAGACCAGCACATCACATAAAGGTGACCGAGAGCTCAGGGAGGGAAGGTCACCCAGGGCACAAGCCAGTCTGTGCTGGAGCCCGTGTGGACTCGGGGGGGGCTTCCGTTGTCCTTGCAGACACTCCAGACACACTGAAGCTGAGACTGTCTACACTCGCTGTGGAGGATCTGGAGCAGTGGTTCTCAAAGTGTGAACCTGGAACCATCCCTGGGCATCCCTGAGGCCATTTCAGGCTTCCAAGACATGAAGGCTATTGTTATCATGATACTAGGATACTATTTGCCTTTGTCACCTTTATTTTCTTAAAACTTACAGTGGAGTTTTCTGGAGGCTGCGTACACGTGACGTCGCGATAGATTGAGTACAGAAGCAGACATGCGAGTCCAGCTGGCTTCTATTAAGCTGGACATTAAAGAGACTCTCAAAAAATGTAAAATAATGCCACTCTTTTCACTAAATATTTTTACTTTGGAAAATATACTTGATTTTCATAAATAATGTGTTATTTGTGTTAAAAATGTAATGGGTTTATCATTGTTATTTTTAAATGAATAATTAAATAAATATTCTTTAAAACTTAGAGTAAATATTGATAGACTAACCTACAGAAACAAATGTCCTTTGTGGTCTCCAATAATTTGTTTTTTAATAGAGGGATCCTGGGACTAAAAGGTTTGAAAATCACTGATGTGGAGGATGCTGGGAGGTGGAGTAAAAAGACTCCAGTGCGGTGTGTGCAAAGAGCCTGGGGTCTGGAGTCAGAATAGGATGTGGTCTAGGCTTTGCGATCCTCACTCATTCCTCTACTACCATCGTTTTCATCACCATGGTCATCATCACCCCTTCATCACTGTCATCGCCACCATCATCGTTATCATCACCCCCATCATCCCCATCCCCATCATCATCATCACCATCAGGGCCTGGCCCCATGGCCAAGTGGTTAAAGTTCTGCACGCTCCAATTGGGCAGTCCCTGTTCGTGGGTTTGGATCCCGGGTGCAGACCTACACCACTCACCAGCCACACTGTGGAGGTGTCCCACACACGAAAAAAATAGAGGAAGGCTGGCACAGATGTTAGCTCAGGGCAAATCTTCCTCAACAACAACAACAAAATCACCACCATCATCATCTCCATCACCATGGTCACCATCACCATCACCATGATCATCACCGTCATCACCATCACCATTGACATCACCTCCACCACCACCACCACCACCACCACCACCATCATCATCACCATCCTTACTATCATCACCACCATCACCGTCACCGTCACTACCACCACCACCATCACCGTCACGTCACCCTTTACCCTCAGTTGAGCATGTGCTATGTACCAGACACTGTATGAGGTGCCTTATAGTCATTATGTCTAATCGCTGTAGAACTCTATGAGGTAGGTATTTTCATCCATACTTACAGGAGAGGAAACTGAGGCTTATAAAAGTTAAGTAAAGCCACCTGGCAGAGCAGACTCTGAACACCAGTCTATTTGGCTCCACACTCTTTTTCTCTCTGACCCTGGGAAGTGGCTCAAGCTTGCTTAGTCCCCATTTGTTAGCTGCTAGCTGGGAATGCTACTAATGATAATAGTCACAATTGCTGGACTTGTGTCGAGCCCCGGGGACTGGGCTAGATGCCTGTCAACGTTGTCTTGATCCTCTCAGTGGAGTAGAGCAGGCATTGAAGTAACCCCCATCTTGGGCTGGTGAGTCACATGTGAAAAGCATCGGCTCCAGGGCCTGGCACAGCGGGGCACCGGGTGAGTGCTCACCCCTACCCTCACATCCTCCCCAGAGTGTGCGGCCGAGGCCTCTGGGACTGAAGACTTGCACAGGGAGGGCGAGCCAGCCCCGTGTGGAAGACAGCGGAGGTGGGCACAGCAGGGTGGGGCGCAGGCGGGCGAGAGTGCGGTCTGTACCACCACTCAGCTCTGTCCCTTGGGCTCGGCGTGCTCACAGCAGGCCCGCCCCTGCCTCCTCTCCCTCATCGCATGTTCCAGGAGCATCTGTTAGGTGCTAGGTGGTGTTCCAGGCACAGGCGGCACGGCAATGAATGGGACAAGCAAGCTCCTGCCTGCATGCTGCTCACTCAAAGACAGAAAACGAGTGCGTGAGGCGGACTCCAGCAGTGCAACGCCCTGGTCTGACACGTGCCAGGAAGGATGGGGGAATCCCTGTAGGGTGCTGGGGTCAGGCAGCGCTTGGTAGGGGGCTCTTTGGAGAGGGTGGCTGGGGGCACTTTCCAAGAAGAGGACATTGGAGCAGGAAACTGTGTGAAGGAAGGCGCGAGCCCTGGCACCTCAGTCTCCGCGCATTCCAGGCAGAGGAACAGGGGGCCCAGGCGTGAGCTTGGTGTGTTCACGTAATGGCCAGAGGTCAGCGTGGTGGGGGCGGCGTGAGGGAGAGAGGGCACCAGGGGAGGTCAGGGACCTGGCGGGCGCCTCTCACGCATGGCTCTCTGTGCCACAGGTGGAGTTTCATTTTATTTTATTTTGATCGTGATGAAAACCACTCAGAGGGGGTCTGAGAAGGGAATACTGTCGTCTTATTTTTGTTTAAAAAGATTTCTGTAGC